TTCAAAAAAAAAGGGGGTCCCCCTTTTTTCTGGAAAGTGGATGGGGTGACCAGTCCCGGGGGAGGAGGCCGGGCTGGCCCCCAGGTGGCTGGGGGGGGGGGGGGGGAGCAGAGGGAGCTAAGCGCCTGCCAATGGAGCCTTTACAGCTTCCGGGGACTTGGTGCTCCCGGAGCTTCTTGTGACCCTTCAGGGGCACAGCCCCCGGTGTGAGGGCCTCCCCTCCCGGGCAGGATTCCTCTTTCCTGGCTGCTTGCCAGAATTTTCTGGGCGATTTTAAAAGATGCCCACAGGGTTACCCCAGGCCAGGTGACTTGGCCTTCTCTGGGCGCGGCCGGTTCGGGTTTGTTTAAAGCGCCCCCTGGCGATTCTGTTTGCTGTGTCTCCATCGCTCCCACCTGGACACAGGCGTGTTGGGCGGGGCTGGCAGGGGGCTCGCAGAGCACGGGCTGACCCCTCTCTTCCCCCGCAGTGTACCACTGGGTGGAGATGCGGACCAAGATGCGCATTATGGGCTTCCGGGGCACAACCATCAAGCCGCTGAACGAGGAGGCGGCCGCCGAGCTGGGCGCCGAACTGCTGGGCGAGGCCACCATCTTCATCGTGGGCGGCGCCTGCATGGTGCTGGAGTACTCGCGCCACCAGGCGCAGCAGCGCCGCAAGGAGGAGGAGCAGCGCGCGGCCTGGATCGAGATGCAGGACGAGGTGGGCCGCCTGGCGCTGGCGCTGCAGGCGCTGCAGGCGCAGGTGCAGGCGCAGGAGGCGCCGAGAGCCCTGGAGGAGCTGCGGGCGCAGATGCAAGAGGTGCGCGCTGAACTCTACGCCCGGGACTCGGAGGCGCGGTCCAAGTCCACGCCCGAGAAATAGGAGGCTGCTGAAGCCTGAACTTGGATGTGGCCATGTGCGCCCTAATGTGCTGGCCCAGCGGAAGCCACTGAGATTTTGATGAACTTGGCTGTTGATCACCCCCTGCTGACCAGTGGTAGCACCTTGCACTGGGACTGTGAAGCGTTCCAACATAGCCCCCTCCTTAGCTCATTGGTACAGCCCGCAGTGCTCATCTCTCCACCTCATCCCAAACCTCACCGGCCTTCTGGGTCCCAGCCCCAGGACGACATGCTCACTCTTCTGGCAGAAGGAAAACATGGAACCTGGACCTCAGCTGATCAGCCTGTCAAGCTCCCCATTTGCCTGATCAGTGCTACCTTCCCTGGGACACTCGGCCATTACACTGAACACCCCCTTCTTTTGATCAGTTGGTACAGACCATTGTAAGGAATGCAGTGTCTTTCCCTGGACTTCTGTTCCCCTTATCTTAAGAGGGGGGAAAGGATCCTGGCTTGCAATCGATCCACCGAATATCTTTTCTTAACCTGATCTGTGAGACCTTCTCCTGAGTCCTCATGTGGAATATTCCAACAGAGACCCCTCCTCCTCCAGTCTGTGGCACCACGTACTGGAATGGCTGGTTTTCTCAGGCAATGCCCTCCTAACCCCCCTGACGTGGTGGACTTTGATTTTGCCCAGGGCTAATCAACTTGCCTTTCAGCCTCAGCTTCCTGTTACCTGTCGCCAGAGTCCCCGGGGCTTTCCTGGCTGTCCTTTCCTACCTTCCCCAGGGGCCTCTCTCAGGCAACTGCTGGCCATGGATTAGATGATCACATCCCCCATGTTTCCTTTAAATCTGATCTGTGGGCTCCTGCTCCCCTCCCCTGGGGCTCCGGACTGGTCGAGCAGTCCCTCTTCATGCACTGGTACCTCCTGCCTCCTTAGCCCCAAGTGCCACCTCCATCTCCCTGGTGTGGGCCCCTAGTTGGTTTTACCTTCTTTAGTCGTTTCCTAGGGCTGCCTAACAAATTACCATGAACTTGGTGGCTTAGGACAACCAGAATTTATTCTCCCCCAGTCCTAGAGGTCGCAGCTCCAAAGTCAGCTGTCAGCACTGCCTCCGAAGGCTCTAGTGGGGGATCCTTGTCTCTTCCAGCTTCTGGTGTCTCCAGGTGCTCCTTGGCTTGCGGCTGCATTCTCTCCAGTCTCTGCCTCCATCCTCACGTGGCCTTCTCTCTGTCTCTTATAAAGACACCTGGTCATTGGACTTAGGGCCACCCTAACTCTAGGAAAGACCCTTTTCCCAAATAAGCTCACATTCACAAGTCCCATCACCTCGCTCCGCCTCCCCACCCCAAGAGCGTGCTGGGACTCCTGCCGACCCCATGGGACATTTGACCTTCCCCACATGAGAGAGGAACAGTCCAAGGAGAGCTCCTATTTTTCAGACTGTAGGTGTTTCCTAATTAAAGGAGCCCTGAAATGAGGAAGAGGTCCTAAGGACTGTCTGAGAACCATTATATGGATCTCCAAAATGGGTACAAAGCTCATTAAAATTAGGAGAGAAGCTGAGAGATCTGATGGGGGTGAGTCTAGAGTCATCCTATGAACTATCCCAGATAGGGAAACTGAGGCTCAGGAAGCCAAGGGACTTGCCCAGGGCTATGAAGCCCATGAGGGATGGGAGCCAGTGGCACTGGGAGGGAAACGGGAGCCCAGGTTACCCTGGGTGCAGGGTGCTTGAGGGAACAGGTGAGGGGCAAGAAGGGAGATGAGGGGGAGGCAGATCACTGGGGGAGGGGTGGGAATCTCCACAGAGGTCCCAGAGCAGTGCTGAGAGTGGGTGGCCCTCCATCCCCAATCACAGCCACCCAAGACCTTGGCATTCAGTGAATGGGCTTAGTCATAGACCAGGAAATGGGTGGGGCAGGTTTTCTTCCACTTCCCCCAGGTGGTTAAAAACACCTTGGCCACAAGACCTGGTAGAAACCCAGTGAAACATCAATTCTTTATAGAAGAAAGGGAGAGGCTGATGTAGAGGGAACGGAGATGGGTCATGGGTGGGGTGTTTCTACAGTAGGAGTGATCCGAGTGGGTTAAATGATGAGGGGAAGAAGGCAAGAGATACCAGTGCATGGAAGGGTGGTGGACCGAGGAGCCAGGTGGGCAGGCTCAGTGCCTGGTTTCCATGGTTACCCCTGAGAGGATTCACTCTGGCCCTGTCACATCTCTGGAGGACGGGTTGCTGGACGCCAGGGATCTTGACTGCAAACCCCTCCCCCATCATGTTAATAAACAGCAGTCAGGTGGAATCCATTGAGCTCTGGGTGGGTGTCAGGCACTGTTCTAAGTGCTTTACGTAATCCCAGTGACATTTTCTTCATTCATGAAGAAACTGAGGCACAGAGAGGGAAAGTCACCTGCCCAAGGTCACACAGGCAGGAAAGAGGAGGAGGTGGGATCCTAAGCCCCTGACCCTGCGCCACCTGACCCTGAGGTAGCGCTGTGCTCATGTGTGAGATTGAAAACAGCCCTTGCCCTGGCCAATTTGGCTCAGTGGATAGAGCGTCAGCCTGTGGACTGAAAGGTCCCGGGTTCGATTGCAGTCAAGGGCACACGCCTGGGTTGTGGGCTTGATCCCCAATAGGGGGTGTGCAAAAGGCAGCCAATCACGATTCTCATCATTGATGTTTCTATCTCTCCCTGTCCCTTCCTCTCTGAAATCAATAAAAATATGTTTAAGAAAAAGAAAACAGCCCCTATGTGTGTTGACGTGGCTAGACCTGTGGGATGCAACAGCTTCGGCCACCGGGTGGGGGTGGGATCAGGGTGTGTGCAGGTGGGAAGAGCGCCCTCTCAAAATACACGAGGCCGGAGGATGGATGGTTCATCGCTCCGACTTACTGGCAAAAATTTTGTATGCATTTGCGACTTGGGGAGAGAGGGGGTTAGAATAAATTTGTAATTCAAGTTGGTTGTGTTCAAATTGCTGCTTTTTTTCGTATTTGAAAAATCCCTGTTAACCTTAGCAAAACTGTCCTTCGTTTATTCTTTCATTTAAGACACTGTCACCCAGGTGCCCATTATGCGCCCTGCCTGTTCTGTCCCATATGGGTCCCAGCGGTGACTGGGACAGCCTCATCCTCCCTCACGGGACTCACAGTCCAGTGGGGAGACAGACGCAAATACAGACTCCCCCTCCCCCCCCCCCCCAAGTGTTACCTGCCCAGCCTCTGGTTACTTGGGAATCAGGCTGAATCCAGATTCCTCCCTCCAGAGGTACTCGGCGCTTTAGGGAGGAAAGAACAGAAACCCATGCACACTGGCTCACAAAAGCCTCAAAACGTGCCTGAGCCTCTGTCTCTCCCAGCTCCCGGCAGGCCCTGTCCATCCCATGTTGTTGTTTTTGTCCAGCAGAGAGGGCCCCCCCAGGAGCAAATGGACTTCAGGAGGCCCCTGCCATCCCTGTATGAGCCACTGTGACGCTGAGTGGCTAGGCTGGGTCCCCCAGCCCCAAGGACAGAGGGAGAGGAGAAATCTACCCTCACATTAAACAAATGTTTACTGAGCACCTACCACGCCCCATTCTAGCCGCTGAGAATTAATGGAGAACAAGACAAAGTCCCCGCCGTTGACATGTGGGAATGGCAGGCTCGGTCTCTCATTGCATGGTTCTCGTCTCACGAAGCTTGAAGAATAAATTCGCGGACTAAAAGATTTTAAGCAAAAATGTGGAAGTTCATGACGAGCACATACAAACTCCCCTTGGGGAGGCTCCCCAAATGGAGAAAACCTGCTCTCTCTAAAATGGGGAGAACCTAGTCCCTTTCGTCTCTTTGTCTACCAGTTTATAAATGCTGGGAGCTTCTTTGTCCGTTCATTCCACTTTCTAATTGGACCCTTCCTTATTTTATGTCCCCCGAGCTTGCCTAATTGGTCACATACCCCCCTTCCCTGCATGGTCTCAGTTTCAAAGTTTCAAAGCTCAGAGGGCGCCCCCTCTCCTTCTTCCTTATCTTGTAAGATTCTTGTAGACAATCCGGGCCTTAGCGCTGTCTCTGCCCATCACTATGCATTCCTCTCCTGTGGACCCCCTTCCCCTAACCTGCCTCTCCTGATCCTCAAATCCTTTCACCATTATGGGCTGACATCTAGTGCGGGGAAAGGGACAGTAAAGAAGTCAAGAACTAACCCAGTGTCAGAGTTCAGGAGTAATGGGGATGGTCGATTTAGATCAGGGGGTCTTGGAGGAAGCCACATTTGAGATGAGCCCAAAGGCAGCTGCCTGGGAGGGAGAAAGGGCTATTAGTATGGACGGAGGCCCTGAGGCAGGTGTGGGATTGGCCTATTCCTGGAACAGCAGGAGGTTCTGTTACCGGGATAGAGCAGGGGTTAATGGACCAAGGCCCTGAGGCCAAATCCAGTGTCCACAGGCACGCTCATCCATTTATATATTTTTCAATGGCAGAGTTGAGTATTTGCTCTAGATATCATATGGCCTCAAAGACAAAAATATTTACTATTTAGCCCTTTACATAAAGAGTTTACCGACCCCTGGAAAAGAGGAAGTAAGGGGAGAGGGGGGTGAGTGAGGGGGTCAGAGCACAAAGGCCAGCCCCCTTGGCACAATTGGAGGTCGTGCCAGCTCTAGGTGCCCCATCAGATAGACTGTTGGGACTGCATTCACCTCAGCTCTCCCTGCCCAGTCCTGCCTGCTCCAGCCCCAGGCCACAGGAGCTGTCCCTGGAGGCTCCAAGGTACACCCACT